TATCAATGTCCAACCATCAAAAAATATGTAAGGAGTAAGCTAGTGTACCAAAGAATAAACATATAGTAAGTATAGAAGTAAAATAATTATACTATCAATAATCTCATGTAAACCACACACAACATCACCTTATGGCTTACAACATTCTAACACCACAACAATTACATTTCAACATGGCATTCAACTACCTAAAAAAGTAAAGAATCAATGTTATCCAACATTAATCAAATCAAACCAAACAACATATGAACAACATCAAAATCATCACAATATATGCATAATACCTTAATTACATGCATCATCACACATTCACCTACGAAGATCTCCTACAACAAAGGTGAGTAGTCTAAGTGGCTTGATCCTGCCAAACCAATATAATCTTTTTACACTTGCTAGATCAACAACCAAATTGGGATACAAATCCCTAACAACATTATTTTTCGAATGCCGCCACTTAAACTAGGAAGCCTAGTATTAATGTCAAGCTAGAACAGCTTAAGTATGAGCCTACTATGACATTAGCTTGCAACACTAAGTCCCCTATGAGATTATTCTACCGATTACCCTCCATATATTACGCCTTTCTAGTACTCAATTAAGGACTAAACCCCCAACTTTGTACCTTACTCGATTGGTTATTTTATACACGCATGTCTCAACCTTGCCCAAACATAAGTCAATATTGATCATTTATAGTCAATATGCCTTGATCTGGTCCACATACCACATCAAATAAGGTCTTAGAAGAGACTCAACTATCTACTTCAAGAGTTAACTACTCAAGAAAGATTTTTCAACAATTGGGTTCGTAGAGCACCACATCAATATCCACACAATGATATATTCAACTTTCAAAAACACCTACTCCTTTATTCCTAAGTTGATCAAAATAACATACCTAAATGTCTAAAGCATTTGCAACATTATGCCTCAACATTTCAACAATATAAACATATATATATATATATACATATATATATATATATATATGTATATATATATATATAATTCCATATCAATATACATAGAACTAACAACTCCTATCAACATACAACATGCAATAGATTCACCTAACATATCCATTTTCACCGCTTAATCATTCAAACAATGTTTTTACAATGTAATTCACACCTGGCGCCATACATCTTATGCTTGGGGCCATTGATATAGGAAGCTCTCTATCTCACCTATGCCTAGCGTTATTCAACTTGCACCCGACGTGGATGAGCTAGGAAACCCCTAAACTCTCACACCTAGCATGGAAAAGCCCACACCCGGCCCTATTTCAAACAAAACACCTCTACTTGACTCACGTTCGGCATCACTCCATTGGTGCTTAGTGTCAATCCAAGTAGAAACGATTCATTCTCGTCACGTCCAATGACATTCAACTTCATGTTCGGTGTGACCAAGTCAGAGACAATTCCCTCTCTTTATACTCGACACTACTAATCATGTGCTTGATGCGAGTAAGACAAAGGGCCCCTAATTTGCGCCACACCTGGCATCGACGTGATGGTGAATTTTACACTTGTAGATTCATAAAATTTCTCTTCCTTCACTTGAAAGACAGGAAACCAAATATGCATTACACCTCTACGTGACTCACGTTCGACATCACTCCATTGGTGCTTAGTGTCAATCCAAGTAGAAACGATTCATTCTCGTCACGTCCAATGTCATTCAACTTCATGTTCGGTGTGACCAAGTCAGAGACAATTTCCTCTCTTCATACTCGACACTACTAATCATGTGCTTGATGCGAGTAAGACAGAGGGCCCCTAATTTGCGCCACACCTGGCATCGACGTGATGGTGAATTCTACACTTGTAGATTCATAAAATTGTTCTTCCTTCACTTGAAAGACAGGAAACCAAATATGCATTACACCAAAACATATCTACAATCACCAACAACTCATATAAAACAAGAAATTCAACAAGAAACCATCAATTTGATCAAAACCAACAAGTTCACTTCAAACATGTTTCCAAGCACCAAAACTTAACTTTAATCCCAATCTAGCCAACATGATAACATTTTGATGAAAAACAATCAACATACATCTCAAATAACTTGAATTCAACTTTGAAATTAACATGCAACCAAGATCATTCAAATTCAATGATTTCTCCACTTTGGAAAACTAAGAACACCCAAGCTCAACCACAAAGCATCAACATTATGCAATCTCACCACATAATTACAAATCATTCATGCATAGCAACTTAACACTCAACAATAATTTCGGTTTTAGCTTCCCTTACATTGAAATCAAAGGGAACTAAGGAAGAAGGAAGAAGAGAAATAATGAGCTCTCAGAAACTCCAAAGCTTTGCACCAGTCTCAAATTCTCTACTCCAATAGCTTTGAATCATTGACTAGCTACTCGACTAAGAGCTCCTATGACTCTTGGGGGCTAGAAAGAAAAAGAAAAAAGAAAGGGGGGGGGGCTTAGAACTCTATAGCTCCTCTCACTACTCTCTCTCTCTAAATTTCTTTGATAAATGAGTTTATGAAGCTCAAGTCTCAAAAGAAACCTTACATGTTTCTCTCTCCTCTCATGGTCAAGCTGAACTTCTACTTAGAGAAATCTTTTGAACCATCTAAACTCAACAAAATTCCTAAATTCTTAAAGTTTTTCAACGATCAATACTCAAAAAGCACCACAATAATATAATTATTAATAAAACAACAATAATTCACAAAATTGTACAGTGTTACACATGAGCCATTAAAATCTTACAATTAGTCCTTTAAATAAACGTTTTTATCTTGAAAGTTGATTTTCAATTAAGAAATTCTCCAAATTCATAAGAAAATATACTTTTACATTAATTTTACATATAAAACATTTAAATATAGTATTTTTAAAAACATTTATTATTAAGACCCTAAAAAACTGGGTAGAAAAATAGTTAAAATTGTTTGATAGATCGATGTTTTCTCTTAAATTAAACCTTCATGGCTAAACGTTCCATATTCATGTGCCCAAATCTCAATCTTCAATCAATTATTTGCATTGCCCAATCCCAAAAGTATCATTTGCCAGCCAATGTCTTTGAAGGCAAGCAACTAGACTATTAATGAATTGCCCATAACTATCACGAATGACCTGCGTTCTTTGCTTTACCACACCCAGCTTAAGCCAACTCGGTGAGTTGCCCATGATGTTTCTTGCCAACACACTTTTTATTCAAAGGTCGTGTATTTGAAAGAGAGACATCAGATAGGATGGGAAAAAGAAAAGGCAACTATTTTTTCTTTTCTTAATACAAGAGCAAACTAAATGCCAAATACCATCTATATCGAAACTCCTTTTTTGTCTTTTCTTCATTAAGAAAAACCTTTTTTTTTAACAAAGTTGTGTTCAATCCAATGTCTCCTCTTAACAAAAAATATGAAACATTATTTTAGGATACAAATTTATTATCACATGTCTATTCGTATATTACATTCCATTCATTTACAGTTACATCAACCACTTGAGAATAATGTCTTTTCTATTGCTATCATTCAATAATATATATATTTTGCATGATAACCTGGTTTTATGAATTGATCAATCTAAAAAATATGGCTTTAAGAGGGGTTGCATTTTGAAATCAGTTCTTATTGAATAGGAGACGTATATAATTTTTTTTAAGTGAGAAAGTTATTTGATTTTTTGTTATATAAATTGAAATTAATGTATATATATTCATAAGAGTATGTTATATGTTAATTTAAATTTATATAATATAGTATCAAATAATTTTTTATTTTTGTAAAAATTATATACTTAATTTATTCAATAAATTATTTAATTTAACAGTTGAACCTTTAAAATTTAAAATATATTATAAGTTATTACGTGTAGTAATTTTACTATAAATTATTTTTAAAATAATTAATTTGATCAATATCATATACATGGGAACGTAGATTTGTTAAGTTATTTAATTCTTAGTTAAAATACATCAACAAGTTACATCACACGTGTATTTTAAGAAAATTTTAGATTTAACTTATTAATCAGTCTAACTTAAAAAAAAATAAGTGGATATACGTCCGTAAATACCACAAACATTTGCAAACGTATATTAAGTTTTTAAGAAAATTAACTTTAAATATTTTAATTTTCATATTATAAATTCCTTTTCGTCTCAAATCTACGATACTTCAACTCTCAAATTGTTTAACTGATAAAAAAAACTCTCAAATTATTTTTATTCCCTTTTGAATTTTGTCTTTTTTTTGTCTGTGTTAATTTTCTTATTTTTCTACTTATACATTTTTATTAATTTCATATACATATCAATTATTTTTAAACATTTTTTTTATATATTTTTAAGTTGACTTTAATCATAATACTCATTCAATGTACTTATGAGAGAACAAAAGAAAAGGACAAAAAGAAAATAAACTTTTTTTGTAAACTAAAAGTATCTCGTGTATAAAAATTCTTCAAGTTCTTAAAAAAATGAGGTGCATACGTTGATTTTAATTTGTAGAAACTCTATTTACTTTATCTTTTTATTTTCTTCCTTTACAAGTGTAGATAGATAAATTATCTAAACAATACCCTAGACAATATAAAAAATTGGATTTTATAAATATGTGGAGACATGTCCATAAATTTGATTAAAATAGTTATTACACAATTTAATAATTTTACCTAATATATATTCGCGATGTATGATTAAATAAAAGTATAGTGTTTGTCAGTGTAAAGTTCTTTTATACTGGCAACTATATAATTAGTTGTTAAATGTAAAAAAAAATTTTACATTAATAGTGTATATGTGATTAACTCTTTAATTAAATTTAAAGTTTAATATTTATTCCTTAAAATATATTTTGGGCTTAAATAGACGGCATCTGTTTTTTGGGCTATCCAAATAAACTCCCACTAAAACAGTTCTGGGCTCTGAGGTGGGCCTTCTATTATGATTTGTAAGCCCATCAACATTTGAGCGTTAATAGGAAGTTACTCCAAAACCCTAAAAAGTTAAAAACCCTACTTCCTCCAACCCAACCTAGTCCCTAGAACCTAGAACCTTCCACTCTCATCCAGAAACGCTGATTCCGGTGTTTTAAAATACTTCACACTCTGCGCTGAAATCGCAATCTTATTCTTGCGGAAATGGCGAAGCGTTTGATTCCGAGCTTCAATCGCGTTCTCATTGAGAAAATCGTTCCTCCCTCCAAGACCAGCGCCGGCATTCTCCTCCCTGAGAAGTCTTCACAGGTTTTAATGCTCTCTGTTGTGAGTTTTGTTGTTGTTTCTGTGTGCATCAAATGTTTGAACCTAGGGTTTGTTGTGGTGTGGAAATAGCTTAATTCGGGGAAGGTGATAGCGGTTGGACCTGGATCGCGAGACAAGGCAGGGAACTTGATTCCACCTTCCGTCAAGGAAGGTGACCACGTGCTCTTGCCGGAGTACGGTGGCACGCAAATCAAGCTCGATGACAAAGAGTATGATTCTCGATCTTTTGTGTGAGGAAGTTTTTTTAATTGAAATTTTACTGAACTTTTTTTTTTTTTTCTTTTTGTAGGTTTCATTTGTTTAGGGATGAAGACATTTTGGGTATTCTCCATGGTTGATGATGAGCCTAAAACTTGCAAATTTTGATTAGTTTTAAATAATTTAATGTCTCAATTAAGAATGTAACTTGTTATAAGCACTTGAGAGATTTTTTTATGGTGTTTTGTATTCTGAAAATGGCAGTGAGAATGGAACTTCTTACTTTACTCTGCAGTTCATTTTGTCTTTGACGATTTTTTTTTTTGTTGAAACTTTATTTATGTTTTGATGTGCTAATTGATCTATTTTTACACCGTCATCTATTTTGAATTTTTGTTTGATCAGAAAAAAATCTCATCTCAGAATTATTGAATGAGCCTAGCAGTCCGAAGCTATTATTTATATTACTAAAATTTCAGAAACATGAACACAGTGGAAATGTCTTTTTCTCACGCAAGCCTAGTGAAAATGTGAACATGGAATAAGATGGACAAATTTGGAGACTAAGAGAGGTGTATTTTAAAGGATTTTTTTAGTTAAAAAAAATTTGTGAATTTTAAAAGATTTTGCAGAATTTTCATGACTTTTAAGATTTTGTAGGATTTTATAAGATTTAAAATTATGATTTTAATGGATTTTGTAAAATTTTTAAATCATAATTTTAATAGATTTCGTGGGATTTTGTAGAATTTTCATGAATTTTAGACATTTGATAAGATTTTAAAAAAAAATCATATATTTAAATTTAAAAAGAGTCAAAGATAAAAATAATAAAAAATAATAATGTCTAGATAAATAATAATAATAATAACTCTCCATAATATCTTATCCACTTAAATAACATTCACTTACATATCCATAATTATACTAGTCTTTTAAGCATTAGCGTCTTTTCGTCCTTGTTCCTGAGTTTGAATAATAGGTTCAAAAGTATGATCTTCATTAATTGGTAACGTTGAAGATGAAGGTTCATCCACTGCTTTAATTGAAAATTCATCGGAATGACATTCTATTCTTTACGTAGAAAGTTATGTAGTGTTGCACATACTAACACAAGTTCTACTTGTGTTTTAAATAAAAATGGAGGTATTAGACTTAAAAATTGTGAACCTTGATTTAAAAATACTAATTCTTTTCTCTATCACATTCCTTAAAGATGTATGACGAAAATTGAATAATTCTTTTTCATTTTCAGGGTCATTATCCTGACTTGCAAACTCTTGTAGATGATATCTTACTTATCGAAATGGAGCTAAAAATTAGCATCGATTAGGAAATTCACAATCCACCAAAAAAATATTTACCTACCTAATTACATATGCAATATATATAATATTAGTATAATAATAATAATTATAATAATAATTATTATTATTTTAAGAATAAGCATTTAGATATAT